AGCTCTCCATTCACAGCAGGCTGCAGCCTCGAGGTCTCAGCTTCCTCACTGCCTCCCCCTCTTTCCTGTTGGTAGTGGCCAAGGGAATGCTGGGAATATAGTCTTTCCCTGCTCCAGGGCTGGCTCTATAGGCAGGGAGCTAACCAAGGAACTACAGCTCCCAGGGCCCCCTGTTGGTTCTCAGCTCCCATGCTGGATCCCTGCCGCCCCTGCAAATGGGCTGCCCCAAGCATATGCTTGCTTTGCTGGTGCCTAGAGCCGTCCCTGCCCACGTGTTCCTACAGTACCTGTCTCACCAGCTGGTCCAGCACTGGAACTTACCTGTAGAAGTATATGGATGTAATATATCGGGATGGCCAAACTTACTGACCCTCCGAGCTGCATAGGATAATCTTCAGAAGTTTGAGAGCCAGGCCTGCCTGCTGGGGCTCGGGGCTTCTGACCTGGAGTGGGGTAGTGGGGCTAGGAGCTTCTGTGAAGCCCCAAGCCCCGGCAGGCACCTCCTGGGGGCTGAAGCCCCGAGACCCCCCACCCTGCAGGGCACAAGCCCCTAGCTCCACCACCCTGCCACCAGGGCCGGCTCCAGGCAGCAGCCAACCAAGTACTTGCTTGGGGTGGCATCTGGTAAGGGGCGGCCAATCTTGGGGTGGCAGGGGGTGGCGTGGCAGTCGGCGGGGGGGGGTTCGGGCGGTGCAGCGCTTGGCGGGGGGTGTTTGGCGGCGCGGCGCTTCACAGGGAGGGGTTCAGCAGCACGGCGCTCTGCGCGGGGAGGGGGTTTCGGCAGCGCGGCACTCTGCGGAGGGCGGGAGGTATTCAGCAGCGTGGCGCTCGGGGATGTTCGGCGGCGCGGCACTCGGCAGGGGTTTCGGCAGCGCGGCACTCCACAGGGGGCAGGAGTGTTCGGCAGCGCGGCACTCCGCGGGGGTTTCGGCGGCGCTCCGCGTGGGGGCAGGGGCTTCGGCAGTGCGGCACTCGGCGGGGGGTGAGGGTGTTCGGCAGCGCGGCACTCCGCGGGGGTTTCGGCGGCGCTCCGCGTGGGGGCAGGGGCTTCGGCAGTGCGG